CAATTTTGACATATGGGGACAAACATTCTAACCAACTGAGCTACCCACCCAGGGTCAGATCACACAGGCTTTTGTGGGTCATGTTCATAATTTTGGATTTTAATCTAAGCAGTGAGAATCCACCAAAAGTTTCAAGCAAGGGAATGGTATGATCTAATTAATGTCTCAAAGAGGTGTTGTGGACACTGTATGGAGAATTGGGAAGGTAGGCAAGAGTAGAAGTAAAGAGGAAAGTGGGTTATTATAGCTGCCCATCTGAGAAACAATAGCTTGACAGGCCCACCTGTTGGGTATGGTAACTAGGTTAGTTGTCCTGGGCTCTGACAACACTGCAATTTCTGTTGTTAAGACTACCTCCAAGGGGGCCCTGGCTGAAGCACTCTAACTCCATTGCTTAGAGTGTTATCCTGATGCATCAAGGTTGCAGGTTAAATTCCTGGGCAGGGCACATACAAGTATCAACCAATGAATGCATAACTAAGTGGAACAATAAAATAATGTTTCTCTCTTTCGCTCTCCCTTCCTTTCCTCTCTCTCTCTCTCTCTCTCTCTCAAAACAAATAAATAAAAGTAAAATATAATTTGAAAAAAATCCTGGGGAAAAGAGAATATCTCCAAGGGTTAATGAAAGATGTCCATCCACACTGTTTCCTTCTTTTAAGGGATCTTGGGCAGCCCATACTGGTCCCAGTCTTCCAGGAACTGCCCTGTATCTTGAACTAGGGTGGTAAAGGTGAAGGTGCACAGAAGTTGACAGAGTCCATGTATATTTGAAGATATGACTAATATGACCTGCAGGTGGATTGTATTTGTGAGGTGATGGAGGAAAAAGAATCAAGGATGACTCCAAATGATGGTTGTGCAATTCATCAGGATGGGGAAATAAGGAAAGAGTGAAAAATAAGTTTAAGAAGCAAATGTTTCTATTTTGGACTTGTTAAAGCGAAGATGATCATGTATTTGAGTGGAGGAATCAAGTAGACAGATGGACATAGCAGCCCAGAGCTGGTCGCAAAGAGCTTAGCAGGAACATTTAGGACTATTGTTGTTGTATAAAAGCTACATGAATAGATGGGAACACCTAGGAGAGACCACTAGGAAAGAAAATGATGTAAGACCAAGCCCTGGGGAATGCAGCACCAGAGGTCAGGTAAAAGAAGAGGAACTTACAAAGTAACTTGAGAAGGAACTGCCAGAGCAGCAGGACAAAGAGCAGGAGAGTGGAGTGTCATGGCAGCCAGAGTCCAGCTTGCTTCTGGGAGTGGTCAGCTGTGTGACATGAGGTCAGATAAAACACTGAGATGAATACAGAGCCATGTCCTCTGGATTTGACAACAGAAAGCTCGTTGGTGACCTTGACTAGAGCAGATTCACCCAGGGGTGGGTGTGGGAGAAGGAAGACAGTTTGGAATAAAAGACTTTTTCCTTTCTGATTTCAACTATTGGGCCTGGGGACTTTGGACAAAGGAGCTGCAGAATTCCCAACAGGCCCAAGTGGCTGATTTCGTCTTTCTGGGATGTGTCTGTTTTAATTCTAGTTAGAATATCTCGGACAGGGAGGATGTGTGGAACTTGTCCTGTACAGTGACTTCATATATGAACATGATCATATGCGTTAGCCAGTGGTCAGGTTCAAGAAAAAATAGAAAGGGAGGAAGACGAAAGGAGAGAAGGAGGGAGAAAGAAAGAAAAAAAGAGAAAGAGAGAGAGAAGGTTTAAAGAAATGAGAAGTAACTGTGATTAATTCCTCTGGTTATTGTGTGTCAAGATTTCATGAAAACTGGAGTTTGACACGTTAGCCAAGGCCTCTTCCTGACCACCACCGTTTGTCACCTTGAGGAGGCAGGTGGCACGGCAGGTGAGGAAGGGGCTGCCTGCCGCCTGTCCCTGGTGCTTGATGGAGCTTTGCGGGCTCAGTCTGGTGCAGGTGCTGCATGTATAGTTCTGAACTGGGGAAATCTTGTCCCCCAAAATGAAAACTATTTGCCATGACCTTCACGGCGGGGTTCAGGATCTGAAGGAGGGGCCGACGCACAAGTGAAAATACTATACAAGAAATATTAATTTAGGAGGCTCTGGGGGCCAAGGGGAGCCTCTTTCTTGAAGAGACACACCCACCTCTGGCCTGGTCCACCTTTTATTTACTTGAATACACATTTGCCCTTTAGCAATGCATACAGGCATATCAAAAGTAATAGTAAAAGGATTATCAGGTTAGGGAATTGCCTTGAGCCACCACTATCTCAACAATCGGTGCATAGCGTAGGACCTGCTAAAGCCCAAGGTCCATCGGCCTTCTGCGTTCCTTGGTGCGCTCTCGTGACAGTAATGGCAAGTGGTAGCTTCCCACAACTATTAAGCCACATATATAAATATCCATCTTTTAAATCTTTTACTAGTTCATTTTAATTTCTGACTAATATTCTTAATCAGTAGCAGCTTAGCACATTTTAGCTTTAAGTTTCTCTCACTAAGCATTTAATAATCTGTAAACAAACACTTCAGAAATTTTTTATAAGAGGGACTTTTATATTTTTGTATTTTGAAAATTTTCACCTTCTAGTTTACCACCGCAAGTTGTTCAGAAGTAAATGCTAAGTATTCTGTTCATTATTGGATCTAGATCTTGTTGGTCAGCAGTGGCCACTGGCTGGGCATGTGCATTTCACATGCTTTGATCCTATTTGCAAGGCTACACCTTAGGAAAATTTTCTCAGTAAGTTACAAGGATAAAGAAACCAGACATTTTACTCTTGGCTTACCCATTTTGTAATCTTGGTCAAGTTTAACTTCTTTCTGCTTCAGTTCCTCCTTCAGGAAATGGGGTGAATAATCGCAACCGCCCCGTATCTCAGAAGTAATTTGAGGCCAGCTAATTGACTCCACTGTGTGTGATGTAGTGATGGGGAAAGAGCTATAAAAATTTGAAATATCGTTCCCATGGTCCAAGTTAGAGATTAACATTGTACAACTATCCTCTAGTTAGGCCTTTGGAACACCAGTTTTAACTCTTTCAGGCTATATCTTCCTATCTTGGTGGAATTGCCCCCAGGTATCATTTGTTAGTTTGATTTTAAAATTCTAACTCAACCAGATGCAGAACATACTCCAATTCCCATTTGAGGAATTCAGAATATTCCTTGAGGTAACCAAGGATACCTGATGTAGAGCCCAAGGAATCACAGCATATGGGAGTGGCTGACTTGCTGCACTTATTCAAAACCTCCCAAGACATATGCTAGTTAATGTGGTCCAGTCTGTATATAGATAGCCTCTGGGGCACAGAATAAGAATCTGACTCAACTATCTAAACACTTGTTATAATCCTCCCATTGCAAGGTGCACGTCTCACCTCTGTGAGGCAGACATTTTATCCCCGCCTTCCAAAGGGAGAAAGGGGGGGTTCTGAGAGATGGAGTGGTTGGTCTAAAACCACATCTGTGATGAATGCCAGAGGCAGGATTAGATTCCAGCTCTACTGATGCTTCCCTAGGATTTTAAACTCACTATGTGAACATAATAATTGATATCAGTCTATGGAAAGAAGGAAAAGAACCCTGTGCCCTAAATACTCCAATCAAATTTCACATCAAAGGAGAAACTGGGTTACAACTGATTTGATATTCTACAGGTGACCAGGATTAGTGGAACTATTCTGCCCTCTTCCTCTCCTTCTCTCTTTATAAATCAGCATCAAAGGTACCAGATAAGAATCCTCAACTTAAACAAAGGAGCCCCTTGACATTCACAGACTGAGTATGCATAAGGGCCCCTGACAGCCTCCGACACAAAGTGTTACAGCAGCAGGAATTTGAATCACATGCACTGCGGCTGGTGTGTGGGACTGAATCTCACCGCTAGTGAAGGTGCCCGGCCGCCACTCAGCATTCAGACATCAATGTGGCTTCTTTGTCCCCCACTTAGGACCATATACCAATTCTATGGAGAAAAATTACACTCTAGAATGACATCCCCAAATTTGAGGATTTCCAATGGTCTTAGGACATATGCCTTACAAATATTGAGGGTTCACTGGATTGGATTTCTCTGCTTTAATTTTGCGTTAGTGGCCAGCAACTCAAGGGTAATGTTACTGCTCATAGCAGTGACTAACTCCTCTCAGGTTCCTAATACATCTGTTCTCCTTCTGCTTGGCTTCTGAACAATGGTTGCATTTTTTTAAAAAACAAGCCATTTCTGATTTTTTATCATTCTATTTTGTATGTGTTTCATTGTTGCAAATTATCTCAAATCCTTTCTTAAAGTAGATCTTAAATCCCAAATAAATGTTGAAACTAGGCTTCCTAGAAAGAATCCATTATCTTAGTGCCAGGACTTGTATAATGTTACAACTACTGAAAAGAATTAAGGACGATGATTTCCAAAAGGCAACAATGAGTGTTTTTAGATGAATATATCCAAATTCGGAGGCTATCTGATGGTCGCTAAGAATTATGCTTTGAGTGACACCTAATGGTCGAGAAAGTCACTCTCCTAACTTTTCCCGGAGAACTCCGACCAGCGTTATTCAAAGCTTGGCTCTTGGACCACCTTCAGAATCATCTGGATGCTCTTAAAAAGGCAGAGAAATGCCTGGGCCCCATCCTCCCGGAAGCTCTGGGTCTGCCCTCGAGGACTCTGTCTTGTTCACACCTTCCCCGGGTTCAAAAACTGCCAAGTCAGAAACACAGGCAGGGCCGGCAGACCCGCAGACACCCAGGGCCAAGTTCGCAGGGGCCGAGGCGCAGGGACGGAGGAGGCCGGGGCTCTGCAGCGGCCCCTCCTCCACCCCCGAGGGCAGGGGCCGGGTGACCGAGGGCGGCGGGACACCGAGTTCGGGGGTGCGGCCGGCTGCCCTCTTGGCAGCGAGGGTGGGGGGGGCGGGGGCGCGGGCGGGGGCCCTCGCAGGCAGACGCCCCTGGCGAGCTGCGGCCGCCCCGCGCGGAGAGGGGTCGCGGGGGCGCGGCGCGGCCCTAACGCCTGTGCTTCGTGTCCCGCAGACGAACCCGGCGCCTGGAGCGGTCCCGCTGCCGCCGCCGCAGGTCTGCAGGAAGTAGGCGCCCCCCTCGAGGACGTCCTCTCGCCATTCTCTCCATCGCATCCAGCCCCACCCTCCGACCCTTCCCACCAGAGAAGCCCAGACCCGACTGGGGAGATCCAAAGGGAGCACGACGTTAGGAAACCAAAGGAGCTGGCGGCCGGCGGCCAGAAGAAGCAGCGCCCGGGGGCGCAGAGGGAGCGCTCGGCCAGCCCGCGGAGGGCCGCGCGGCCGAGGCTCGAGGAGGCGCCCGGCGGCCAGGGGCGGCCCGAGGCCGGCAGGCCCCCCTCGGAGGCCCGGGCGCCCGGGCGCGCGGCGGCGGACGCGGCGGACACGGCGCGGGCCGGCGGGCCGGAGGGGCCCCGAGCCGCCGCGGGCCCCGAGCTCGGCCGCCGCGAAGGCCCGGGCGCGGCGCCTGGGTTCGCGGGCCCGGGAGGCGGCGGCGGCGCGCGGGAGGCCGAGGGCCGGGCGGGCGCGCGCGCGGGACCCCGGCCGGGCGCGCGGCCTCCGGGGGGCGCCCCTGCGCGCAAGGCGGCGGTGGCGCCGGGGCCCTGGAAGGTGCCGGGCTCCGACAAGCTGTCCGGGGTCCTCCAGCCCGGCGCCTCGGCCGCGGGCAGATGAGCCCCAGCCCGCCGCCCCGCCCGGACGCCCGCCGGCCCCGCTCCGGTCCGTCTGCGGGCGTTTTAATTTATTGTCACTGTCACGCGCATCGATCCGCGCGCGCCGAGGCCTGGGGGCGTCCACGCGCAGACCTAACTGATCCTAAAGCCCCCGGTTCCGCTGGGGGGGCTTGGGCAGCTACGGAAGAACCAAAACAACGTGAAGAGCATCACGGAGAGACAATGCAGTGTAGCTTTAGTTTAAAAAGAAAGAAAGAAAGAAAAAATATTCCCCCACTGCATGAAGGATCTGGACGTCATCCAAACTTTCTATTCAAGAGACTGGACCGATTAAGAGCAATCACAAACTGGAATATCGCCTTAAAATTCAAACTGCACGGAGCAAGCTGAAGCTGAGACAAGATTATATCTTTTAATTGATCTAAAGAGTTGTAAATAAATCGTTCTTGACCTATCTAGACAGGGGTTAAAAGGTTTCTTTGAAACATTCGGAACTGTCCGCTCATGCCGTTCCATGGCTCACCCGAGGCACCCATCCCTGGTGTGAGCAGCGACGTTCCCTGCGTAGCGCAGGGTGAGTTAGAGATCTAGTGAATCCATTGGTATGATGCCATTTGTACCGCCATTTCTGCGATCAAATCATCTTTCTGTACATTTTCAGCAGTAGAGAAAAAAGGTTTTAAAAATTGTATCCTAGGGAACCGTTCGCCGTAAGTCAGAATTCTGCAGTTTAGCTCATAGATCTCAATTGGTTTCATCTAAAATACGCATTTTGATCATTGAAGGACCACGATTTGTTTAGCCATGATTGGCAACGCTGCAGTTCCTGTGTGAAAAGGCTTTCCTATTGTCTCAGGCTAGCAGAGGTAGTAGCTTCTTTGACAGCGATGTTGTATTTCACTTATATTATTGTCTTTTTTAAAAAACCCCTTTCCATGACTTCATTTTCACTTTCATAGAGCAGAGACGAAGTACTTCTCCAATATTTCTCAGATTATGATGAATCCCTGATATTTAAAAAAATCACTATTATGACCAATTTATTTTCATTAAAGAACATAAATCTTTTTAGCATTCCTTTCTGCTTATCTTTCTTTCCTTATTCTTTCTCCGTGTATCTCCATTTGCTTTGCTTTTCGTTCTGGTGGTGGTTGCCAAATTTTATTTCTTTAGCAAGCTCTAGATGTTTCTGTTTACCTTCATTGATCTATGGTTGATCCCCCAGTAAAATTTTAAGGCTTGGCTTTCTTCCCTGCTGTTATAAAATTTCTTCGGGGGGGGGGGGGGGGGGAAGGTATCCACTGTCGACAAAAGAACCTTCAAACCTATAGAAAAATGTTGTAAGAATTTATTTGAGCCCAATTTTTGAGAAAATACTCAGAAGCAAAGTCTCAATGGATTACCAGAATCCCGTGGAGAGTGGCAGTTTTCCAGTTCTCGTTCTTCCTTTAGAATTAAAGGAGAAACAGGAATTTATGGTCCAACCATCCTGTGTGGTTACTTTTCGTCACAGCGCATGTCAGGTCTGCCATGTCGCCCCCTGAGCTTGTCAGGTTCATTACATAGCCCCTTTCCATCCACACCTTGGTACTTACTTGTAGCTACACATATTTAAGAGCTAAATGTCTCTGAGGTTAGTTTGTCTTTAGTGTGCCCTGAATGAATGAGGCTTCACTCTGCCGGTTTACCGCCCCTTACAGGAGTTCCAATGCAAATAAGCCTCACCTCCCTGCCCTCGTAGTCAAATAAGGGAAGCGGGGAGATCAGTCGGGCACACAAGGTCACGAGTAATCGCTTCCCTGTGTTGACTCTCCCTGTCTGTAATTGCTGTGTCCCGAGCACTAGCCATTTAATTTCCATCAGGCTTGGGAGTAGTTCAGTTGTTTGACAAGAGGAAAACATGGTTGAAAGCCTCGAATAAAGAGTCTTGCAGCTTGTAAAAGCAATTTCCAAAAATGGAACCCATCCATCATAAACAAAAGCACAAACACATGTAGCAGTTTACAGTACGTTTGGTTTAATCTCAATTAGTCTTTCTCCCCTGGACTAGAAATCCAGTCTAGTTTGCCATTAATTTATTGAATCTGGTTTCGGACAATGCTTCTGTAGTGTAGCTGCACGTCCCGGTACTGTCCTCTGACATTTTCCACGTGTTACAAAAGGATAAAAAAAATTTTTTTGAGATTACGCTTGCATACGCTCTAATTTGCACAGTTCACGGCTACTACTTGTGCAGTAATTGCTTTATGCAGCTGTAATCCATAACCTGTGCAGACAGCACATCATCTAGATCCCATTCCAAATAATCTCTCTGTGTAGTGATAGCTGTGAATTTACCCTGTACAGCTGTATCTCTATAAATATAATTCCATGTATTAATAGTCACAGAAAGACTGTAAGTGAGCAACTATTTTTATGAAACGCACCACTATGGATAAATTAACTTTTACAGAAATCTTGTTTACTGTATGATATTCTAAAACACTGTCAAATAAAATATATATCCAAAAATCTTTTCTTTTTCCAACTATGTAGGCTGCGTGTTAATTTGAGTAAATACTTACTAGAATTTAATTTTTTTAAACTGCAGTTTTCACAGATTTTTTTTTGAAAAGTATACGTTTAATGCCCCAAACAGGACTTCTTTGAAGCTTGAATCTAAATGGAGCAGAATTATAAGGGGTGAAAACTGTTGACTTTTTTCGCCCAAGTAAATGGAGAGTTTTCTTATAGATAATCTGGTGGGTATTTTCCTGTCGGCCAACTGCATCATTTATGGATTGACAGTATGTTTCTGTTGCTTGCTAAATTGATTGATAGCCTTTTTTCAAAAAGTGATTTAAGCTATCAATCAACAATAAATTTCATCACATTTTTTCCTGAAATTTTTTTAGACAAAAATCCCAAGGAGTTTATGCAGAAGCCTAAACTGAAGGTAGTGAACAGCAGTGTAGAGGTCCAAAATGAATGGCCGAATGTACCTCTTGCCATATACTACAATACACGCCTCTGGGAGAAGGGAGCGTACTCCGTGGTAATAAGATGATGGCTACCCTGTCGTCAAGGAGATTTCAGTCCAAAGAGACAGCCTCAATCCTAGTCATGTCAAGACTGATGGCAACAGGAGGCCTAAGAGTCCAAAAAATTATTATTTTTCATTCCAATGTAATTTTTAAAAAATAAAACGAATCAAATTAGAAAAAGGAAGAAGCTGACATGAAGTGTAAAATTAAGCACAAAAGTTACGGCATTTGTAATAAAAATATTCTTTATGAACTAATCAGAGAATGACCAAGTGCAAGCTGAAAAAAAAAAATAAAGATTTACAAAACAATGCAGTTAACAAAACGGGGTATAACTATTAATGCACAGCTAATTACTATTCTAAAAGAAAAATCATTAAGACATCAAAAAAGATTACAAACCAGAGGCCAAAGCAATGAGGACAGGGACAGAGCAGGACTAGGGCGAAGGCAGGTGAGGCACCTGGCCAGGGCGAGGGCCTTATCATGAATCAATGTCTCCAGGGTCAGGCAGCCAAATACGAAACAGTGAGGAGAGCCAGGTGGGGACAGGGCCAAGCTGTCATTTTGTCAGGTCCAAGTCCACTGTGGAACCATCTCTCAGTTTCTCAAGAGAAAAAAAAAAAAAAAAAAGAAAGAAAAAAAAAAAGCCATTCTTTATTTGAAATGTTATGGTTTTTAAAGTATGACAAGTTTAATTCACATTTTTAAGAAACACTGAACAAAAAGACAAAACACTACAACGAACCATCTGTGGCCCAAGTCTGGCCCACAGCCCACCAATTGGCAGCTTCTGTTTTGGAACAAAAGCCAGGCTTTCCGCAGAGAAAGCCTCGCTTACATCAGGCTCTGATTCACCTTCTAAGCCGGTGGTTCTCAACCTGTGGGTCGCGACCCCTTTGGGGGTCGAACGACCCTTTCACAGGGGTCGCCTAAGACCATTGGAAAAACACATATATAATTACATATTATTGTTGTGATTAATCACTACGCTTTAGTAATGTTCAATTTGTAACAATGAAAATACATCCTGCAAATCAGATATTTACATTACGATTCATAACAGTAGCAAAATTACAGTTGTGAAGTAGCAACGAAAATAATTTTGTGGTTGGGGGTCACCACAACATGAGGAACTGTATTAAAGGGTCGCGGCATTAGGAAGGTTGAGAACCACTGCTCTAAGCAGTCAATCTTCCAGACCCTAGAGGCCATAAAGCGATGGCCCTTGAGGGTCACGCGTGCCTGGAGTAGCTTACAGCGTGTGTACTAAGTGTGAGGCGCTCCGCCAGAAGCCAACCGCTGCTCCTGCAGTAGCGGTGAATTCGCTGTGAAGCTGAAGAAACTGCAGCTTGCAGGAGCCCTGAAGCTTGTTTTATATTTTATATTCTCTTTCTTAACAAGTCTCCCCCAAGCTGTAAGCTTGGGGCTCCCCAAAGGTGAATCTGCCCATGCCCTGTTGATACTGCTGGTTTTTTTTAGGCCAAACTCACAGCAAAATCAGATGACCTAACTGCTGAGGAGTTTGGAATTAACAGAGATTTCTTTGTCAGACAACCATAGGGCCAGACAGGATGCCTGTGAAATCACCAGCGTGCTTTCCAAGCCTTAAAATAGTCAGGGTCCCACGTCTAATGGTACGTTCTGCATCATGTCTAGTTCATTTAAGGCACCAGATAAATGTGTAGAGATTATGATTATAACTAGCTGTAGTCATAATAGCTGTCATTGTAAACATTTGGGTATAAACAAGGGAGCCACATCCTACAATTAAACTGGCCCCTGCTTGGGCATTTGCGGCATATCACCCAGGCAGCTCGGTGACCCGGGACCCCATGAAAGCCGGCGGCCGTCCCACCGCCATGAGGGGAGCTGGCCACCACAAAAGAGAGCCGTATCTGTTTTGAAGAGTTTGATAAGATCTTTTCTGATGAAATTGTCTCTTACAGAGTGATTTTCCCTGGAAGAAGCTGGGAATCTTTTGAGCAACAGAGTAACCTTGACTTTCTTTCTGAGGTGGCAGGCAAATTCTCTAAAACCCTAACAAGTTTGTGCAAAAGGAAATGAACCCCTCTCCCCCTCTGTGAATTTGTCCCAGGTCCGCTGCCTTCTCACTGAGAGACAGCCATTCCTATGGTACCCAGAGACTTTGTAGGGACCACGCAGACAGGGACAGCCCAACCGGAATCCATTTCTAGAACTATAACTTCCGTTTTTATGCATTTCAAACCTGGGGACTGCCAGTGTTCCATTCCCACCTGCCCTATACAAGTACAGTACCCTGGACAATAGAGAAGAAAGACGGACCTATCACCTGTCCTGCTTTTTACTCTGGTACATCACCTCAAGGTGGAGAAATCTTTAGGGCATTAAGCAAAGAGGCGATTAGAGAAGGTAGCCCTCCTGAGGGAGAATCGAGAGAGCAAAGCAGAGCGCACCAGTGAGAAGCATCTGAAGGGCAGAGCCTGCTTCCGTCCAGGAGCGCCAGTAGGGTTCGTAGCTAAGAACTAGCGCCCACATTTATTTGAATTTTAAAATAAAGTAAGATTTTTTCTGATTCCGTGTGTAACTTGGCCATTTGTCTAGCTATACCAACTTAGATAGTGTCTTTGCCAGTTAGATTATATGGCAGGTATCTAACAAATTAAATGAGTTAAATGTGCAACTACAAAGTTTAAATAATATATATAAATCATGCATACAAGAGAAAAGACATCCTTTGAAATACTTAAATCTGTGCTAAAAAGTAGTAGATGTCAAGTTAGCAATGAAATCCAGAGTTTTATAAAATTATTGTAGGGGCTACATGAGCTAAAAGGAGCACTCACTAGGATAAGCCTACTTAACTCCACTTAATAAAAGTTTAACGAGAGTGGTAAGTGTCTGCTATATACAGCATTACAGGTGAACAGAACACAGCCCCTATTCTCAAGTGGCCTATAAGCTAGTTAGGAGCCTGAGACAATTCACGCAAGAAAGAATGCAGAATGCGGAAAGTGTGACAGAGGAATCGGGATGCTGTAGGAGTGGAAATAGCTGGAGGCAGTTAGAAGTCAGCCTGTAGAAGCGGCATCTTAGCTGGGGTTTGCAGGTTGGGTAGGATTTCGGAGGCAGCGGAGGGATAAGGAGAGAACAGCAGGGGTAAGGCCGGGGTTAGGGAGCTTGGAGAGATGTCAGAGACACAGCAAATTGTTTCTTTTGACCAAGACTGTATTGGGAGGCGGTGGATTAAACAACGCGTAGGTTCAAGCACATTA